ATCATCCAGGTAAATATGACAGAATTTACCCAGCAGTTGACGCAAGGCAGCGGTTACGCGTCGCTGGTGGATTGCCGGGGCATTTTTTAATCCCATAGGCATCACCAGCCATTCATACAGGCCTAAGGGAGTGTTCACGGCGGTGAGATGGACGTGGTCCGGGTGCATCCTCGTTTGAAAGAAGCTATTTGTCATGTCTATTGTGGCCCAAATTTTTCCTTTGGCACAATCGGTGAGAATGTCGTCTATTCGCGGTAAAGGATGTGAATCTGTAACCGTGTTTTCGTTGAGTTGACGAAAATCGTTCACCCATCGCGGTAGGACATTAGGATTTGCTTTCGGTACTATGAATGCGGGAGAAGCACAGGGTGAAGATGAAGGGCGAATACGTCCGGCATCCAGATGCTGTTGAATTAAAATTTGCCATGCCTCCTTATATTTTCGCGGTGAAGGGTAAGAGCGTGATTTGATGGTCTTTTCCGCGTCTTTCAGATGTATTTCAGCTACCACTTCGCGCGGCAGTTCATCCACATGGGGGATTGGTTCAAATATTGCATGGTATTCGGCTTTTAGTTTTTGTTCCCTCAAACGTAAGGTTTCAATAGCAGCTAACGTTTCAATGCGCTCACGGACAGCGCCGACGACATCAAAATCCTTCACCTTTTCAGGTTTGAGTCCAAGGTGTTTTATTCTATCATTGCAAACCATTAACAGTTCAGCGAGTACTACTTTTTTATCCGCCTTTGTAATTTTGATCTGTTCTTTCAACTTAGGTTTCGGTGGTGGAGGCGGTTTAATAACGGGGGGGTTCAACAAATCATATGCAGTCTTTTTATCTATGCAAGTACGAGCGGCATGGTCTGTAACGATTGAATTATGTACGAGCCAGGGTAATCCGAGAATAATGGGGGCACAGAGGCCAGGAGTGACGACGGCTCTAACGGTGCGCGAGGTCCAAGACGAGTCTAACGAAGTGAGGGACAATTTAACATAATGGTACAGTTTTGTTTTCTTCTGCTGGTTGTTGAATGCGACGTCTACGAGTTCGGGTTCTGCCAAATCATGCATTTTCAGTCCAAGGCGTTCTACAAGCTCGGGGC